AATTCCAAAATCTCTGTAGATGTTCATTGAAATGAAAAATAAACAAACTAAATTAATAATAAAAAAAAGTTAAAAAAAACATTTGAAGATTGTGATTTTGTTCACACTAATTTTTCTCTTTTTGAGGCAAAAATTCCTCAGTTCTTTTAAATGTTCTTGAACTGATATAATCACCATCCTAGCTGATTTTCTTTGAAATATAGTAACTTATCGACACTCTCCTTTAAGCTGTGTTACGTATTACTAGAAATCATCTGAAGGCAGGAACTACAAGTTACTTACCATAAACTTTAAGTGCTATAACATAAAAGAGCTAAAATTTAAAAAATTCTATTGACTGACTAGATGAAAATCATCCAGGATATAAGTCTGATCAGCTCAGAAAGCAATGAAATTTTGGCAAAAAAGTGTTACCTAACAAAATCTAGGAAATTATAAAATCTTTTAATATCTTTGACATACTCAGAAATTTAAAAGAGGATTATTAATTTTTTTTTAAAAATAAACTAATGTGTTGGAGAAGGGTGTTGAGGGTACCATGGACTGCTAAGAAAACAAATAGATTCATCCTGGAGAGGGTTAAACCAGGCTGCTCACTGGAGGCAAGGATTGTGAGGCTTCGTCTGACATAATTTGGCCATGTTGTAAGGAGGGACTGGTCCTTGGAGAAGGACATCATGCTTGGGAGGGTGGAGGGCAGGAGCAGGAGGGGAAGGCCCTGTGGGAGGTGGATTGATTTGGTGACTGGGGCAATCAGGATGAGTGTGTCGGAGATAATGAGATTGGCACAGGACAGAGCAGAGTTTAGAGCTGTTGTACATAGGGGTCGCTGTGAGTCGCAAGCAACTCAAAGACACGTAACAACAACAATGTATCAAGGGAAGGACAGGAAGATGGATTTTTAAAATGATGATTAGACTTGAATTTATTTATAATCTAGCCTTTACAAAGAGCTAGAAAGCTAACCAGGAATATGATCTAGTTCTACTAAATGGTTACAGTGGAACTTAGATTAAGGCAGCCTACAAAGAAGGTCTCGCTCCCAATTTCCTAAAACCAGCTACTGAAAACCCTATTAATCACAATATCTATGGTGCATGGGGTCACCATAACTGGGGCCCATTTGAAGGCAGCTAATAACGAACAATCTGGTCCTATAGAACTAATCTTTAATTTTGTGCTTTAAAAAGTAAGCAAACTAAACAAACCCCACCAAACTGAAGCAAACTATCCTAAGGTACAACAAAAATGGCCTGAAATCCTGGTTTTCTAGTAAAAGTCCCGTCTCTTGCCTTTTTCTCATCGTCATCTGAAGCTTTCTTGAATTCATGCTCAAAGGAGCTAGCTAGTTCATTGAAGAGCCCCACTTCCTCACAGTTCTTTAGGAATCTAGTTGGCGTAGGAGTTTGATCTGTGGATATAAAAAGAGAAAAGGAAACTTTTAGTTTCAGTCTGAAATTAAAACTTGAGTTTATAGAATTCCAGTTCTGATTTAAACTTCATGTATACCAGAGTAGAATTATGCTCTAAGGTGTGTTGGGTTTTTTTAACACTGAAAATGGTTTATATTTCAATAGGGTTTTAAAAAGCTACTACTCTTCTAAGAGATCAGCTGGCCCAGTGAAAAGAAAACAATGTGACCAAGACAAAGGTGGGTGACTTTTAGTTTGTGGCCCTCCAGCCAGTCTTTCATTGTTTTTGTTCAGACATTTCTCTAGGTCGTGTAGCCCTGGTGTACAAGTTGCCATCCTGCGGTCACTTGTGGTTGCTGTGAGGCTGAACACTATGACACGGATGTGTCAAATGCGTTAATGGTTGGCTACCCAATGCGGACTGAGAGTGGGGTGGAGCTCCCCAATTAAAACAAGCTTGGAAGGAGGAGTGGCATCCACTTCCATAATAGCTTGCCTCCGGAAACCCTAAGAACCTGGAGAGAGGCTGCACCCAAGCGTCGAGGACTCTTCTTCATAGGGTCGCTATGAGTCGCCTGCAACTTAACGGCACTTAACAACAACAACAACTTCTCTTCTATTCCCCCAGAAGTGCACAGGCAGGCTTTTCTTCCAAGATAGCTCTGTTGTTAGATGCTATCAAGTCAACTACAACTCACAGTGACCCTACGAACAACAGGTCGAAACTTTGTACTATCCTGCACCATCCTCACAGTTTTTATACTATGCTGAAGCCCACTGATAGAAGAACTGATGATTGATGGGTGGTGGTACTGGAGAAGAGTAAACAGATGCTGCCCTGGATACGCTCACCAGGTTGTGCCAAGAAATCTGGAGGACAACTAACTACCTGGCCAACTCACGGGTAGACATCCATATTTATTCCACTCCAAAAAAGGTAACCGACAGAGTGTGGAAACTATCGTACAATATCACTCATATCACACGCAAGCAAAATCCTGCTGAAGATTATCCAGAAATGACTGGAATAGTACTTGACAGACAACTACCAGAAATTCAGGCTGGTTTTAGATGAGGTCGTGGCACTAGTGATATTATTGCCAATGTCAGATGGATCTTGGCAGAAAGCAAAGAATATCAGAGGGCTATTCTATTTGTGTTTACAAAGGCATGTGAAGGTGTGGATCACAACAAATTGTGGCTAAACTTGAGGAAAATGGGAATCTCAGAACACTTGATTGTGCTCTGCAAAACCTATACTTGGACCAGGAAGCAGTCTTCAGAACAGAGCAGGGAAACAATGCATGGTTTAAAATCAGGAAAGGAATGTGTCAGGGATACATTCTGTCTCCATACCTTTTCAATCTGTATGCAGAACAGATCATTTGGGAAGCAGGGCTTTATGAGGAGGAATGTGGAATCAGAATTGGAGATAGATTCATCAATAATCTACATTATGCAGATGACACAGTCTTTCTTGCTGAAACTGAGGAGGACCTGAAGTGCTTGCTTCAGGAGGTCAAGGACTGTAGTCTTCAATATGGAAATTCAACATCAAGAAGATGAAGATTTTCACTCCTGGGCCAACTGCAGCACCATGATGAATGGAGAAGAGATTGATGCTGTTAACAATTACAGCTTCTTAGGCTCCATAATCAATACTCTTGGTACCAGCAGTAAGGAAATCAAAAGACAAATTGTATTAGGTAAAGCTGCTGTTGGGGACCTTTCCAGAGTACTGAGAAGCAACAATATCAGTTTAGAGACTAAGATGTGCCTGATCTTCACAACTGCTATACATCAGAGAGCTGGACAATGACTAAGGATGACAGAAGAAGAATTGATGCCTTTGAGTAGTGGTGCTGGAGAAGAGTATTGAATATACTATGGAATGCTAAGAAAACAAATAGGTCTATCCAGGAGAGGATGAAACCAAGTTTTTCCTTGGAAGCTAGGATTTAAAGCTCCATCCCACATACTTTGGGCATGTGGGCAGGAAGGACTGATCCTTGGAAAAGGACATCATTTTCAGAAGAGTGAAGGGACAGCACAAGAGAAGAAGACCCCAGATGAGATGGATTGACACAGTAACTAGGGCTATGGGGGTAGGTGTGTTGGAGTCAGTGAGACTGGCTCAGAACAGGGCAAGTTTCAGAGCTGTTGACTCATCACTATGAGTTGCAGGTGACTCGATGGCACATGGACTAACAAAAGAACAAAAAATCTGTCTTAGAGGAAGCAGCCAAAGTACTTCTTAGAGACAAGAATAGTAAAACTGTTGTCTTACATACTTTGGTCATGTTGTCAGAAACGTGATGGTCCTTGTGAAAAAGACATTATGCTGGGAAAGATGGAGGGTTGAAAAAAGAGAAAGATAGATCCTCAACAAGATGGACTGACACAGAAACTGTAACAGTGAGATCAAGCACATCAGAGAGAGGATGCTGCAGGATAGGGCAAGGTTCATAGGATTGCTATGGATTTAGTTGACTCCATAGCTTCTAACAACATGAATCCCATTGTTGCAGTTACTCTGTCAACTCATTCCTCCAGGCAGACTCAAACCTCTAATCTTTCATTTACTAGCCAATATACTAACTACTTGTACCACTCAAGAACTCCTGAAAGTTTACAGAGCATGCATTTTTTTTTTTATTCTTTTTGGAAAAAGGTAGTCTGTGTTTTAGGACAAACTTGTTTTTATAGTGCTCTAGTAGATAAAAGGGGAGCTCTGGTGGCCTAGTCCATATGGAGTTGCACTGCTAACTTAAGGGCCATGCCTCTCCAGTGGTCTGAATCCACCAGCAGCTCTGTGGGAGAAAGATGAGTAATCTCTTCCTGTGCAATTTGCAGCCCCAGATCCAATCAATGAGAAGTCAGCTATGAGTTGTTTCTGACTCAATGGTAACATGTTTTACCATGTGGGAAAAGGATGGGCAATCTCCTCCCGTGTGATTAACTGTCTCTGAAAAACATGCTGGAGGGTCAGCTACAGGTTGGTTCTGACTCTACAGTACACAACAACAAAAAGATTTAAAAAAAAAGCTCTCATGTGCTTTGTGTAATTGTTAAAATGCATGGCTGCTAAGTAAAAAAGAACAGTGGTTTGAACTCTTCAAGTTGCTCTGCCAGAGAGACTGTGGCAGTCTGCTTTTATAATGATGTATAGCCCTGGAAACTCTATAAAGGCAGTTTTACTCTTGGATAGGTTCAAATCAATTTGATGGGAGTAGGTTTGGTTTTTTTTCTGGGTCAAGCCACGGGTGGTAATACTTAAGGATACTTTGGGTAGAATGTTAAATGATTCAATAAGTATCAAGAGAAGATGGAAGGAGTACACAAAGTCACTGTATCAGAAGGAATTGGCTGACACAGAAGAATTTCATGAAATAACATATGAGCAAGAGCCTATGGTGATGAAAGAGGAAGTTCAAATTGCTCTGAAGGAATTGGCAAAAACCAAGCCTCCAGGAGTTGATGGCACACCAATTGACATATTTCAACAGACACTGCCCTGGATGTGCTAAGTTGTGCCAAGAAATCTGGAGGACAGCCAGCTGGCCGACTGACTAGAAAGGATTGATATTTGTTCCCGTTCCAAAGAAAGGTGACCCAACAGAGTGCGGAAATTATTGAACAATATAACTAATATCACATGAAAACAAGATCCTGCTGAAAATTATCCAAAAACATTTGGAATAGTATGTCAACAGAGAACTGCCAGATGTGCAGGCTGGATTTAGAAGAGGTCATGGTACTAGGGATATTATAGCTAATGTTAGATAGATCTTGGCAGAAATCAAAATACCAGAAGAATGTCTATCTGGGATTCATTGACTATGCAAAGGCTTTTGACTGTGTGGATCACAACAAGCTGT